CTTAAAAAAAGAATCCAGTTGTGATCAATCCTGTGGTCTGTTGCTAACATTTAATGTACACATTAAGGAACCATATTCATTTGCATGCAATTTGCATAGTATACCCCCAGGCAGAGGGACACTTTTTTAGTGTATTCACTAATAAACTTGTCAGGGCTGGAGTGTAGTAATAGGATTCTTGCCTGCCTTGTCATATATTGTGGGTTGGATTCTAACATGTTCCTAATCCTAGATTTGGTTGCATCAAAGGCTATACAGAGTATTGCCAGTTGCTGTTGAAGGCATGATTAACTCCTGCAGCACACACAGAAATACACATATTTTTTAAAGCTTTACATCAATTTATTGTTTTCCTAATACATAGGGAAATAGTAAGGCCCTGGAATCAGGATTAAAGGAGTTTAAGACATGTAAATTCACATAAAGAGTAGTCACTGCTCAATGGAAGATCACTGAAGTGATACTAAGGTAAATAATAATAATAAAATAATTATATATATATGGAATGATGTAAATGATGATGCTTTAACAAAAATAAAAAGGATCTGGAATTACTTTACATAAAGAAATTCACTGGAATATTTGTGACAAAGGGGACTGTTATCACTGCAACCCAAATTTAGAAACCTGGTAAAGAAATACGGAAGCCAAAAAATAAAATAAGCACTTGAGAATTTTTTAATTACACATTTTTGTGACCAGAATGTAGATAGAGTATGTTTTCATACTGAGTCCAAATGAAATGAATTAGTCAAGGTTGTGGTCATCTCATAGTTGCATCTCGTGGTGAACGACCCCATTTATGTTTTTTCTCATTACTATATGGTAGACCTCCACTCTTACTATTACCATTTCATTCTCTCTCAATCGTATTTGCTCAAACAATTTGTGTTTCTTCTTTACGTTCAATAGCTCTCTTTCCCCACTGTATACCTTTACCACCTAATGCTATTTGTTAGAATATACTATTCTACTGAAAACATTGTGATATTGTCCTTGAGATAAATGCCTCTGTTTTCTGACATTCCTTTAAGTATATTGTATGAGTGCCCATTATTGTTTTTAGTATTTTTGCAGCAGTGTGTCAAACTAATTTAAGGGTATGCTATTTTTTTCTTAACCCTGTGTGTGGTCTATGAGATTTAATAAGCACAACCCATTGCACTACAATCCTTCACATTATATTAGAAGATGTCTAGAAAGCTATAGAACATACACTAACAGACAGGTAGGCCATTGTCTTATTAACAATGCCCCACATACAGTACTTTATATCTGTACAACAGTTGTTAGATACAGGCTTTGACCTAGAAAACAGGAACATAACTTGGCGCAGTGAAGTGATTAATATGAGAAAACAGAGTGTATTGGTACCAATGGTTTCATCACACAAAAGCATTTTAATATTCCACTCTGACTTTCAACTCTAACCTTCACCCCCCCCAAAAAACCTTTATTTAAAGAAAAAATCAAGTATTATTTTATTACTTACTAGGTTATATATAATAAATCAAGTATTTTTTTATTACTTACTAGGTTATATATAATTTAAACCTGTCTGCAGTGCGAAAATTTCATAAAAATAAAAAACTCACAAATCCTGTGATCTTTTTTCAAAAAAGGTTGTTTTGAAAAGAATATAAAAATTATGATTGGCTTACACCACATGAAGCAATAGCCTTGTTTAAAAAGTAAATGCTTTCTATTATGCAGAGAAAGAACATTCTTGAATTCTGTAAAATCAGTGTCCATTGATGCACAATTTGTCTTCCCCTAAAAGAGGCTACAAAATGATAAATATGCCAAATCACTGTTATTAAAATATCATGATTTAACTACAGGAGGTCCTCAGATTACGACCTGCTCAATTTGTACGGCATTTTCTATCATGGCTACATCAACATCTGCAATACATTTAATATAAAAGTCTTGTTTCATCATCTTGACCTATGCTGTTAAAGTTAACTATTTGGTGAGCAAAGTCACGTGATGCTATATATGCGGAAGATGGCTTTGTTTACGTTAATGCCATACATTGGAATGTTTTTTTTGGCTGAACACCCCTTTTTATATCGGAACCATTTTGATGCACCCCAATTCCCCACACATGCGAAACCTAGACAGTTCACCAGCCAAATGCAGGGACACATCATTCATATTTATGGAATCATTACATTTAGATTTAACAACTAATAACTTCCTATTTGCATGTCCTATATGGGTGTTAACACTTGAAGGAAGGTGGAATGTCTGCATTGAAAAGGGAGAACAAGTGGTCTCCCTGAATGTATGACTGAATATATTAAAACTTGTGCTCTGTTAAATATGTAAAGTTCACATATTTAACATGGCATGTATCCTTCACCCCATAAAAAACAAATGCTCTCTTTAAATGACAAGAGAGAAGTGTTGCGTTTCTCCTAAATGTAAATTTGCTTCATATCCAGGCATTTTGAAACTGATCTACTTATAATTTGAGAAATAGAGATTTGAGACTTAAAATAAGAATCGAAATATCAAATAAAAAAACAACCCAAAAACAATAAAGTCAGTTGAAGTGGCAACAATCCAATTCTTCTTGACATGCGATTCCTATTTGAATCATCAAAATGTTTGACATTTGGAGCAGCGACAAACATCAGGGGGCGGAGGGAGAGGACTTAAAGGAGGAGGTAGTATTGTTCTAGGACGGTAGGACCACTCAGGGTGCTGCTCTACTGCTCCCCCCCACCCCCCTCTCTCTATTGGCTATATAAGTCCTAATGGGCGAGAGAGAAAAAAAACAACAAAAACCTGACGCATCCGAGCGCACGTGCCCACAGTCTTTGCTTTCCAACCTGCGCCACCAGGCCACGAGGCAATGTCGCTGTCATTGCTGTGGAAACGCAGGGTTCACCTCCTGGACAGGTGG